CGGATGTAAACAAGAGAAAAGGAGTAGTCTGCTGAACGCACTTTTTTGGAATTAATATCAGGCTTGCACAAGGTCATATTTGTTTCCTATACTGACGAGAGTATGTATCATTACTCTATTTTGGTAAATATTTATCATTTGACAGTTTAAAAGTGCTTGTAAATCGGAATTTATATCGCGTAAAATCTAACTGTACGCGCATCGCACGGCGCATGTTGTTTACAACGTGGGGTACCCATCGGGGAAATTTAATGTGTATATTACCCGTCTGGCTCGGTAATATCAATTTCTTTCGGGTGATCAATATCCAATCAAAAAGGCGGAAAAAATCTGGAAGGGTAATAATACTTTATATTTCTGCGCACTGTACAACTGCAGTTGCGTAGCAAGCAAGGGAGTTCGTAACCATTGTTCTTTGATGATAAAATTAATTAAAAATGTTTTTTTTTTCGTTTTTCGTGAAATATGGAATATATTTCACGTTTCGTAAAAATATATTCCATATTTCAAAAAAACTTATCCTCTTATTATTAAACACTGTATATATGAATTTATAGATATATTGAATTATAAGTGAAATCATATTAAGCCGTTCTTTGCTGTGCATAATCATTCTTCAATTAGTGTATTATATATAGGAAACAGAAAACACTCATTACATTTAAACAAAAATAAGTAGTATGCATGTATGTATGCACATTTCTTACTTACATTGACAGTTTGACAGACATCAAAACCATAGACATCTAGGTAGGAAACAATAAACTGTTCCTTAGTATTTGTCAAATATGAAAATAATAATGGGAGCATAATTGATCGATATCTTTACAATGTAATGTAATATCTATATTCTTTGAATTGTATAGACTGTGGACAAGTATCACCCCCAGCAAGTGGTGAAATAATTCTTCATCAGAACAGTACTGTTTACGGTTCCAATGCTTCATACATCTGTGATGAGGGTTACAACATGAAAGGTCAAGCAAACATAGCATGCGAAGCTTTAGGAAACTGGGATTACAATACAACTTATTGCGAAATAAAAGGTTTAAATTCCACTTTAAAATGTACAGCAACTTGTATCTGAGATTAAATTACTTCATTATTATACCAAAGAAGTAGTTTAACCTTAAAAAGCTAAAACTCTGAGCAAGTAATGTCTTTGCAAATATACTTTCATAAAATTTACACTCTTATTAGTAAATAATCAATTCAATTTATTTGTTTATCTTTTTTGTGATACTAACAGGCATATGTCACAGTGTTCATGTAGGACATATATCCCCGAATACCTTGGGTTTCTTTCAGCTATTATATCCTGCTATAAGATCTGCATGAATTATAAAATTTTGTTTCTGTAATTATAGAAACTACAGAATACACTGAATGCAAAACGCGATTTGAAATACCATTCGGTTAAAATTATTTTTTCATTCCAATCAAAAAAGAAGTCCAATTGGTTTACATGGGTTTTCTTTTACTCACGTTTGTACATGTCATTAACTTGTCGAATATTGTCTGTAAAGTGAAATTCAATATATTTTTGTAATCACCATTTGAACATATATCTATGTACAACAACACAACATTGTATACGGACACTGTTTCCTCGCTACCATTTTGTAACAATGTTTGTGTAAATGTTATATTGTAGATGAACTTAGTCAATGATATTAATCAAGTCAGGTATAAACATGTAGTTAAGGCATCGTTTTATTATCAAAAGCTTTATAATTACTCATAATTTCCTAGTTGATAAAAATCGACTCGCACGTTTCAAAAACTTATTTATTACGAAAGTGTTTGACTAAATTTATCATACACTAACATCTACATAGATTGTGGGATGCCAAATGTTTCACAAGACGGCTCTGTTTCTGCTCAAAATGGTACAAAATTTGAAGCCATCGTTGAATTCAAATGCCATCCTGGATATACTCTACATGGGGATAACACTACAAGTTGTATGCCAGATGGAAAGTGGAAGAAATACACTGTGAATTGTACTCAAAATAGTAAGATATCATGATCATAATATATATTTTTCATACTTTGATATTAGAATTCTGTATATTCCGTTTCGAGATACTGAGTTAAATTATTATTATAATAATTATATCTATTGTGGATGTAAAAGTCTGAGTTGTAATTACTTTTTCATATTTTTTGTCGTTTTAGATTGAGTTTTAATAAATTTCTGATGAAGTAAATGTCTGAGCTTTTCTTTTCTGAATGTGACAATAGCTTATAACGTTGTAACGTTAGTGCTATTTTAATGCGGATATGACAACTGTAATAATAAAATGATAACTATTTCAATGAAGAATGTCACCAAGCTGAAAAAATAGATCATGGTTCTGTTAACACAACATTTGAGTCGCGCGCAATTTATGAATGCAATATTGGATACACATTAGATGGAAGTCACACAGTTATTTTGTCAACTTGACGGTACATGGGACTCAGAACCACCAACTTGTAATGTTACAGGTTTGTTTTGATAACTTGTACTTTTTCATTTTAAACATTGAGAAACTAAGTTTGCATAAACGATTTTCCACAAATTTCATTACTGTTAAACAACTATAACAGTTCACATACGTACTATCTAAATAAAATTTAAAAAACTGATATTGCACTTGTAGTATATTCGAAAATCTTTGTTATCGTTTGTTACATTATAGCTACTATTGATATGTCTGACTCCCACCAATGACAATTTGCAAAGTGTCTCTCTACAACGGCTACAATAGCTTTATGTGATATATATATTCTAATGCGTTTGTGACACTCAAATCTATACATAAAGCATGATATGTGGCTATTAGACAGATGATTGTTTGTAATATAAAACAACACCAGAAATATGTATTAATTTAAGATAATATTGTATAGACTTGCTTCGTTTTAAAAGCATTACATACAAAAAATGCTATATTTATAATTGTTTTGAAGAAAAAATGATTTTCGTTTGATAAGATGCAGTATAATTAATTGTTGTATCATGACATGAGTTCTTCTAAATGTATAATAAGATTGATGTTTGTTAAAGTCTGTTGAAGCAAGAGCCTAGTGCACAAAGTCTGCGCTACACGGACTCAAAGCAAAAGGAGAACATTTTGATTACTATTTCTTATGTATGTATAACTATCCGACATACGCTTTTGAAGATTATGTTTTGAGATTTGACCATGAACATTGATGCTACACGTGATTGTATTTTCTATTTTGTTTTGTACTGTATTTATAAAGCAAATTAATGAAATTCCAACTTTAATATTACCATTATAAGATTGTGGGGAAATAATACCATCAATACAGGGATCAGTATTACTCAATTTAAATGAGACAACCTTCAATGCAACTGCAATGTTTAACTGTGAAACGGGCTATGAACTTACTGAACAGATGATAAAATGGCAAGATGTAATGCCTCTGGTCAATGGACAAGCAACCCAGAATGCAAAATTAAGGGTAAGCATTTTTTATTACACACTACTTTATTGTTGTATAAGACATAAGTTTTCGAGATGTTGATATTCCCAATATTCTTTGTTGAACATCGTTTTTTATTTAGAGTATAGCTAAAAGAAAAAACACTAAAAATACAATTAAAAAAAAAAAAAAAACAACAGAGAAACAGCATCAGAAGTTTTCGTTTTAGATACCTGATATGTATTATAATAAGAACAAAAATATAAAAAGCAACATATATGACTGAACAAGTTAAAGTTTAAACAAATATGTTTTATTGCATGTACTTTTGAAATATATGTAATTCATTTTTCAAAGAGTTCCTCAACAATAAAAATAGTAAAATTATACATGTAGTTAATATTATGATGGTCTGTAATATTGTTCTCTAAAAATTTCAAGACTGCATGAGGCCTCCGGATCTTGCAAATGGAAATATAAGTACCTCTAACGGAACAACATATGAGTCTGTATCATCATTCACGTGTGACTTAGGTTTTACATTGGAAGGTGACGACAGTACCAAATGCACTGAAAATGGCACTTGGACAATATACAATACTTCGTGTGTAACAAATGGTAAGCGCTTTATCACAAAGTATTATAAACAATATTACATGTATTACCAAAATGCTTTTTTGAATAATACTTGAAAACAACGTAAATCACTTTCCAATCTTTCTTTTGAAAACTAACAATAGAGTAGGAATTCTTGAATTTTCAAAGTTTCAAACCCACACATATCAGTTGAGAGGTATACACCTTTATCTGAAAGATATTATCTTCTTAACATTTTTAAAATTCATGTGCAATAACTTGGCTAAACAATCAACAATCAACAATCGACATTCAATGTCTAGCTAGACAATCAACATTCAGCTCAACATTCGATCTATAATAATAATCAAAGAATTCTTAAAGTGAATGTTGAGCTAGACAATCAACAATCAGCTAGACATTCGATAATGTCTTATGTCGAGCTAGACAATCGACATTCAGCTCAACATTCGATCTATAACAATAATCAAAGAATTCTCAAAGTGAATGTCGAGCTAGACAATCGACATTCAGCTCAACATTCGAGCTATGATAATCAACAAATTTTTCACAAAGTGAATGTTGAGCTAGACAATCAACAATCAGCTAGACATTCGAAAAATTCTTATGTCGAGCTAGACAATCAACATTCAGCTCAACATTCGATCTATAATAATAATCAAAGAATTCTCAAAGTGAAAGTTGAGCTAGACAATCAACAATCATCTAGACATTCGAAAATTTCTTATGTCGAGCTAGACAATCGACATTCAGCTCAACATTCGACCTGTTATAATTATCAAAGTATTCTTAAAATGAATGTTGAGCTAGACAATCAACAATCGGCTAGACATTCGAAAAAATTCTTATGCCGAGCTAGACAATCGACATTCAGCTCAACATTCAATCTATAATAATAATCAAAGAATTCTCAAAGTGAATGTGGAGCTAGACAATTGACAATCAGTACTAATTTGTACTAATTGTGACAGAGGTTATAATTGCACGTGCAACAAAGACTTCCCAAAAGGAGATCCGACATTTCATTGCTATAGTAATATAAGATTTACCAATAATGTCCTTGACACTTTGCTACCATCTTTAATTATTAGATAATATTTCTCGTTCTTCACTTTAAGTGAACATTTTTTAATTAATGTTTAAGTATTGTATATGAATACGCCGCCATCTTAGAATTGTATCACGCGATTCTTATCGCGTATTGACTTGTGTGCCTCTTAGGCTTAACAGATTTTGGTCTATTCCGTTTCAAAGTTCTGTTGAAAAGTCATATTTGACATGTACGTATGAAACGTTATTTCTAAAACATAAACGGCTTTTATATATAGTAAAATTTGTCTTTATTAAATCATGCATTTGCAAATTATAGCAAAATACAAAACTTTGACAAACATATTAATCATCAGTATTTAAGAAATGCCATTTAGTGAATATTTGAAGCTTTCAAAGTTTCAGCATTGTTTTTCTTTAGCCATCCAAATGTTCCATGATGTCACGCAGTTTCCTGATTTGAATTATTCTCACGAAATATATCGCATGTCAGCTAAAAACATGTTCATTATACACCTATAAATGAAATAATGAGAAAATATGATGAAATAAAGTGCGTATTCACATTTTCCGTATTTTCACTGTAAAAAAAATATTATTATCTGCAGTGAAACATATTGTCCGTACTTTAACTAACTGCTCTTGCCTGACTTTTTTCTTCTAAATTCAAGCACTGCTCAAAAAATAAGTATTTCAACTTGCAATTGCTAAAAAGAGATAAATGCATTTAATGAACAGATTTTTTTCTTTAAATGCAATAATTATTTTTATCTTGTCATATGAAATATGAAAAACAAGATCAACAAGGAAAGGCGGCGTTCAATGAACGCAACCCCCATATGACCCAGCAACAAGAACCAATGACAAGGAGCCCAGGTGGACACCAAACATAAAAAGGACAGGGCAACGACACGTTAATCATTAAATGATAAATAATTTGTAACTGATCAGGAATTCAAAGAAAATAATAATAGGCCCACAAAGGGGAAGGGGACAGGAGACCGGGGGAAGGGGGGGGGGGGTTAATCAAAGAAATAAAAACTAGAGGCAATGGGGAAGATACTTACCGTAGACGAGAAAACAACAAGGGACACAAGCAAAAGTGTCACCAAAAACAGTATGAAACAACATAGACATACATCTGAGGAACACAGTGGGGCGCCGCCTTGGAACGGTCAGCAGCATAATAATGACTGCTGGGGAGTTTAAACCGGTTAATGGTGCACCAAACCTCGCTCTTAGCCCCACCATGTTCCTATAAACGAGACAGTGTAAATAAAATGAATCCCCGCCAAGTGAAATTCTAACAGTTGTCATGGTTACAAAAGGTTAAATAAGTAAAACACTAAAATGCTCTTGTAGAAACATATAAAAGTAAACCCAATGACCATAACAAAAGTACTCAATGTCCTAAAGGAAGACAGAGCAACAAGAAAATCACCTACAAGGGCCCGACGAAGCAAGGCAGAAGACGAACATTAAGACAATTCAGTCCCAAAGGGCTTAACGAACTATCCATCATAGAGTCTCCCACTTGGTCCGTCAGATGCAATCAAAAGAGGAAAGCGTAGTGTCCAACTGTAAAAGGGTTGAACACTAAACATGCAGTATGTCTTAAAATAGTAGGGTCATAACCTCTTTTAATAAAACGTTTAATGATTTTAGTAAAAACAGCAGAAAAATTACCATGACCCAAAATCTTACGAAGTTTGTAAACCACATCGCCATAAAAACCAAAACTATCATCATTCATTAGTGGCTTACGCCACTCATAAAAATATCATTTTCATAACACTCGATAAAAATAAATCCTGTATTTATAGAAAAATACCCTCTATATTTTGAAAGATGTTTCACATTTTCATGACAAGAGAAAAAACCGTTTATCAAAATTAAATGAAAAAATTGAACTTCTAACACTTTCATTTTATGTTCCCAGAAAACGTTATAATTGAATTGAAGACACCTGTAGCACCGTTCAGGGGAGATAATGTGCTGATCAACTCTTTTCCGATACACAACAGGTTTCCGTATTTTGGAAAGGAGTATAAATCTTTTAGAGTAAGTCATAACTATCGGACAACATTAAACAGTTTAGACCATTTGTTTGATCCATAAAAATACGTTGTTTCTTATGTTCTATGTACTTGCTTGCACATATTTACACAGCTTTAAAAGCGTTTAAAGTATATATCACAATGCACAATAATGTGTTGAATGTTAAAAAAGACTACTTCCATTTTGCCAATATTAAAAATATTTGTTAAGACTATACCTTTAAGAGTCGGTGCCTCATGCACGCAATCATCGCATAAACTTTTAAACCCTACTTATATTGAGTTTGTGTACATTCATCGCTTTACGTTTAAAACCCTACTTATTTTGTGTTTGTATACATCATTAAGTTTACGTACATTTTTTGTATTTAAGTGTGTTAAGTAAAAAAGACATTCTATGTTACAACTGTTTAGTGATCGACCATAAGATCATTAAAACAATATAAAGTGTAACTGTAAATAAACTTAACTTTATATAAGATATTTCATTAGATAAAGCTTGTTCAATACTCTTTCATAATTTTATATATTAAATGTAAATTTTCAAGGTAGTGAAACGATAAATAAAACAGTGCTCTTAAGGGTGTGTTCAAATGCAATTAAAACGTCAGCATAGAAAAAAACTTATATCGATATAAATATATGTACATTTGTTTCGTTTCTTATTCACAGCCGAATATGAATGGTTTTATCACACTTGGCTTTCAACCCTTGTATCAGAACTATGGGCCAGAAACCCCTTCTAACTGGAAGACATTTAGCGAAGGTCGAACTGTGATAGCTCCATTCTGGACAAATCTAGACTCTACTAATCTCACTGGAGGTGTTTTTGTCCATCTCATGGAATACTACAGAGGCGATATGAATGATAGTCGACACAAAGACCTGGCAATGCTAGGAGAAGTATTTTCAAAGTCCTACAACCTTACAGATTTTCGCCCGCGTGTTGCTATTGAAGTCACGTGGTTGAACGTTACAAAAGCATCCTATATTATACCAACAAGACTCATAAAATCTCAAGTAAGTTGAAAAATTATCATTTAAAATGCATAGATAATAGATGGATAACGCTTCTCTTTATTTTAATTAACGCCTGCAGGACACGACATGATAATGCATTTTAACATCGTGCACCCCGGTCGGGGTACATTTTAAGTCAGATGGCTTCTGCAGATGGTATTGCAAGAAAAATGAGGGTGCATGAGTAAAAAGTCATCAATAAATCTGTTAATTCCGCGTTTCAATATTTGTTTTTAGTTTAAAGAAATCGGTAATTTCATGCTTGTAAGTTTCGAGTGCAATGTTATGTGTCATTAAGTATTCAAATAAAAACTACCCAGGCTGCTAGTAAGCTAAATACACATGTCATGCATATTAAAAGAACATTCTTCTTGACAAATAACTACAAAGCTTTAAGAAGTCAATACTTGGGAACAAATGAAGAAATAGGGAGACAATTTACCAGTGAGAAAAATCTAGCAGAAATTCTGGTCGTCGCTTTTTCTACTCTGTTTCAGAAAACATCATAAAACCTACTTGATACAAAATTGAGTTCATGACCTATCTTACGACATACAAATCACTAGTTTTCTTTTTGACCCTTAAATAGAAAACATAACAGACACATTGTTTGAAACTGTTCTAAGTGTATAAAATTGATTTAAAATGTTTTACTTATCTAATGGTAGACGTTTAACCACACCGAAAATTAGTTATTTCACAATCACAAACCTATTTAACATCGAATTCCTTGTACTTTTAGAATGTGACAATGCAATTGATTCTTATTTCGGATGGTATACATTCATACCTAATGTTTAACTACGATCATGAGCAGTGGTCACTTAAACTCGACAAAAATATACCAAGTTCTGCCGGCTATAGTGGCAAAGACAACGATGTTTACATCTTGGCAACAAGTAAAAATGCTAGTTATTTGAACCAACATACCAACGTCGAGACGGGTAAAGTTAACTGATTGTATTTCTATAATAATATATCCTTAGTTAATTTTGTAATCAATTTTGTAAGATTTTAGATACTCTCACTTAGTATTAAATGTTAATCTGGTAAGAATGCACACTTCATTTTTTTAAACGTTCATGGTTTCTTTCAATGATGTTCCCAATTGCAAAAATACATACTTATGTTCATTTCCATTCACACTAAAAAGTGACTTAATTTTATTTTAGTTTTATGATTCGCTCTCAACATACGAAGACAAACCATTGTCGAAGATTTATAATTTCGAATATTCGCAAAAGAAAATGTGTCTTAAATTTCGGCTTAAAATATTTGATCAGATATTTTTTTATTTTCCATCCTTGAAGATCGTTTAACATGACATTATTGTAGTGTGTGCATGTATGTCGTGTTTTACATGAAGTCCTTTTTCTTGATTAGTGGTTCCAATATACCTACTTGAATACTAAGATATATGGCGCCTGGCTTTTGAGTTTCTTGTTTGACGCCTTGTCTGTGACGTGTTTGCTTCGTGACCTCTAATCGCCTTTAAACACCACGCTGTTTTCTCGTTTAGGGCGTATGCATTCTTTTACTTGGGAATTATACTTGCCGGTATGAAATTGACAAATTGAAGGTTCCATAATAATTACAGTATGATAACATTTGTGGATTGTTTTAAAACCATATTTCCCCATGTTTTCATGTTTAAATGTCGAATGTTTTCATGTTTAAATGTCGAACGTTGCCTAGGTCGGTGCTGGGGGCAAGTACGGTGTTTTTCAGTTACCATTACCTTACATGAACAGGCTCAATCAAACAGATCTTTCAACATAGCCAGTTTGGCCGCTTTTGGGGTTGTAATGCGTCCTGTTTTTCTCTACCTGAAGCTCCGTTAACACTTTTAAATTAGAGGTTTAAAGTTATATACAGTCCAATATTGGCCAGATACCGATCAAATCTTTAGATAGTTTAATTAAATATTTCACAAAAAAGTTTGACTGGTGCCGATTCTTCTATTTAATATTTTGTACTTATATTGCCTAAATACTTATTCATCTTTGACTATTTTGTTTTATATTATATTGTTGGACTGTCAATGTTTCGACTGTTAAAATGTTTGATTCTTATATTGTGTTGGCTGCAATTTCATATAATTATGAGACTGATACAGATAAGATTAATTGTTGATGTTTTTCTTATAGTGTTGGACTGTCATTTATTGGAGAGATGCCGATCCAATTTTGTAGATATTTTGTTCTTAAAGTACATTGCTGTCATGCCAGTTATTATTATTAAATTATATGCTTTCCCAAGCTTTTAATACTGTATTCCTAGAAATGTTCGCGGATACAATATTTCGCGTTTTTCACAACGTCGGCATTTTCGCGGAGATAAACTTTCGCGGATTTGTAGTAACAGCGAATTCCGCGAATATTAAGTCGCTACGGCCTAAATTAAAGCTTTTTTAGGCTACGGTATAAACCTACATGTATTTGATGTCCAAAACATCAAAAAACAATAATATTAAAATAAAACTATTCCCGGTCTCCACCCCTGTATATGCGTATGCAGTAAAGCTTATTTTTCCATTTATGAATGTCACATTAATAATTCAGCAATTCGGGCAATTCATGCTTGACCTTAAAATCTATATAAGTGTATAAATTAAAGCTAGCAGAAAATATCCCCTTTTTTGCTGTTTTTTTTAATTATTTTTGTTGTTGTTGTTTTTTTCTGTTCAGACTAACGGTTATGTTGTGCTACTTTAACAATATTGGACTGTACATCGTTCATTATAACAACATAACAGATGTTTATCAATGTAGTACTAGATCGCTATTGTACTTTAAACAAAGGATTACCTCAAGCAAATAAAATGCAAGTCATTCAATGTACGCAAACTGTAAATGCTTTTGTTTAAGCCATGACAAGCTTATAACGTGAATAAGCATGATAATAAGTAATAAATTGACATTTAAAAAAATGTTATGTGCATGAAAGTTATATTGAAATGTAAATACATGGAGTACAAGCTTAAACATGAGGTGGTTTAGTAAGGAGATGAACTTTACATAATTGTTGACACATTTCTATAGCACTTGTGTCTCTATGTTATTGTGTAAGTAGATTAAAATCCATATTCTGAACGTTTATGTTTTTATTTTGTTGAAGCTAGAAATGTTCGCGGATTTGTTATCAGTGACATATTCGCGGCTATAAAGATTCGCGTAATCATGCCCACCGCGAAAAGCGCTAACTTAAAACGCGCGAAATCTTTTCTAGGAATACAGTATTAAATTCACAAATTGAACCGGGCGCTTACATATTTAACATATAAAGTAATCACAGTTATTTCCTTAATATAATTATATTTTTTCAGGTCCTAATGGAAGGTGGATATTCGACGTTACAGATTATAATCAGAATACAATTGCCGTTTTAAAAAACGAATCTGAGTGTCTGAAATTTAGTAAAAATGAAACAATACGTATATGGATATCGAAACAGCGATTGTTATCGTACGCATGTCCATGTACCCAGCAACAGATGGACCTCGACTACAGTTACCATATTGTGGAACCAATGTACGAGAATGCGAGTCCTAAACCAACATGCTATGAGGCGTGGTTCTTTAACAATGATGGAGTGAAGCAGACATGCAGTTACAGGTATATATGATTTGTTTTAGAAATACTTGTACATAAAAAAGGGTCTGAATATTAAATAATTAGTACACGAATAGTTATTTTAAAGAAAATGAAAAATGAAAACATCTTTATATCTTTAATGTCTAAGGTAAAAGTGATGGTATCTAAAGTGAAAAATAAATAATACGGAAAGGCAAAATAGCTCGGAAATGTAAAATATCACGGAAACGCAAAATGCCACTGAAACGCTGTAGGGATAGTGACCAATTTTGTGTTGGACAATATAAACACTTACTGTCTTATTTTTGACGTCATTTGACACTCAAGCTTGCCTTTTTCTAGGTAGTCTTAGATTTAGGCAGGCATATGGTTGAAATTAAAATTTATTTAAATATAAGAAATTCTTACTGTATTTGCTTGTTTTGAATAAAAGATTGCACAAAACCATGTTTAGAAATAACTCGTCAGTTTAATTTTGTCTTTTCTTTAACGACACTATGTATTTACAATTTATACTGTGTTTACCGATAGTGTATATTGTTAAGCACAGTTTGCATGAAGTTGAACTTCTTAATAATTAGGCTACTTTGTAGACTGTTCAACAGTTAAGAACGAGAAATTTGGCATGCTTTAACAAGGCGATTTCATGTGAAAGCTTTGAGAACTGTATTTTTCAATTTTTCAGCTGTAAGTTCAATACCGGTTTAAATGAAGGGGACTAAAGGTTTAACCTCCGTCCATCCGTTGGTCTGTCTGCCTGTCCCGCCTGTCAATAAAATCTGGATCCCATGATGGCGCAAAAAGTACTGAAATATTTTCTATGAAACTTGAAATATGTGTAGATGGTGGTCTGGAGGTTATGCGCGTATTTTTATTTATTTCTTATAATGACATATTTGGTTGCTATGGGAACAAATAGACTTCGGCTATGGCAAATCTAATACAAAAACTGGATCCTCTGATAACACAAAAAAGTACTGAAAATATATTTTATAAAACTTACATTATTTCTAGATGGCAGAGATAATGCACGTCTTTTTTCTATGTTAAAAAATACTTTATATTCATACTGCAACAAATATTTTTTAAGTATGACAAATAACTCAAAACCATTAGAATAACCCCACCTATTGACCTTAGAATGTCCATGCAAAAATGATGTCCTTATTGTATAACTTCTTAATTTTATTGTTTTTACTTCAATCTTTAATAATTGTTTCCTATTACATCACCCACATCATATGTTGCAAGGTTCACAGCACCAATATTATAAGAATTACAAACCTTGTATCTACTTCAAATTTCAAGTTTAACGAACAGATTCAGCATGACTATGTCAAGAATTATGTGCCTCTTGATCTTATTTCTGTATATTATTGCCTCCCCATTTCTTAAAAGATTTATTTCAAACTTTTACATCATAATAATACAACAAGGTTAAAAAATTTAGCGTCCATATATCCAGAATTATCTTCAATTAAAATGCGTTCCAGAATAAAAAAGGAAATTCCAGATGTCCTTTTTCCGGGGGTCGACCTAAAGGCACTTTTTCAGTAACAAATTTACATTCAGAGAGTGAGATAGTAGAGAGTGACTTAGGGGAATAATTCCCCTATCTTGTAAACCTCTGACGAAACGCATTGTACCTGTCCGTTCTGCGGATAATATTCCACGAGTTTATTTTCTAAGGACAATGTTGGAAATCGTTGTTCGGAGTAATTTGATAAATACACATAGAAGAATATTTCTCTTACTTGTTAATGGGTCAATATAGCTGTCATTTATGCAGATTACAAAAGCCTTTTAAATAAATAGCAGTCAGTCAATATCTTTTAAATATCAAATAGAAAGGTTAAAATTTAACGCAAGCTGATTTGTTTTAGTTACATGTTTTCATAATTTTGTTTAAGAATATATAGTAGTGAAAAAATACATTCAATATTAATTCTCTAACGTATAAAAAATAATATAATATTGACAATACAAAACTTATGACATTTATCTGTTAAATTTTTCATCGTATTTGTAAGATCATAAATATGTTTATCAAATAAACATACACGTTTGATTCTTTAAGTTAAATAGAAAACTGTTTTATTCATTGTACAATTGTACATTTATGAATATTATTTATCAATATAAGTTTTCTTTTACTGACGTGTAACATATGTTTCTTATTTCACTGGTGTCGTAACTACTGTCGTCAATATGCATATTAAAGATAAATAAAAAAAGAGCGGTGAAATATTTATTTTCATATCACTCGATAAA